CTGGTACAGTGAAGGATATTTGTTCAATGTGGGATCTTTGCAGGTTGCAGGAAAAAAGAGAGGTAGACCATCTAAAGAGAAGCAGCAACCAGCAAAGAAGGCTAAAAGTTCTGCTCCTAAGAAGACAAAACCCAAGAAATGAGTTGAAATTTTATTTCTTCTTTTCTTTTAATAAAAGGTGTATTTCTTTTATTCAGTTGAAACAACATTATATACATTGAATAGAGTAGTTTTACATGTATGACTTGACTTGTGAAGCCAATTCATACAATTCAACGTAATCTAAGTACTTTGATGAGAACAGAGCTCAGAATCTCTGGGAAGATAGTAAACATGGTCTGTTTGCTTCCTTCCAAACAGCTACGTATCACTTCTCATTAAAAAGGAAGAATGATGAGATTCATGACGTGCCCGATTACCTGAAAGCAGTTAGACTGAGGCCAATAATCAACAAAACGGGGTAAGGTCGAAGAATGTCGGACGAAGATCGAGTCTCTGCAACCTTCCCCATTCCAGCTCTTTGACTCTCATCCTCAATTGGGGGATTTATAAACTGGTCGTTTGGATCTTGATTCACAGTGGGAGGAGGTATGAACTGCCCATTCACATTCTGATCCTGAGGAGGGGGAGTCGTTGATTCCCCATTCTGATTTGGTCCAGGCGGGTTCTGATTTTGAGTCGGAGGAGCCATAGGTTGACCGTATGTATTCTGAGTCGGAGGAGCCATAGGTTGCCCAAACTGATTCTGAATCGGGGGAGTCATAGGCTGACCGTATTGATTCTGAGTTGGGGGAGCCATAGGTTGCCCAAACGGATTCTGAGTCGGGGGAGCCATAGGTTGCCCGTACTGATTCTGAGGCGGGGTCGGAGGATCCGAGTTTTGGCTGCTCGGACTTTTTACCCTGGATCAAGAAGATATTCAAGCGTGTTCAATCAGAATCTGCAGAGCATTGTAACAAACTGAAAAGTGAAAGGACATGATATATACCTGCCAGGGCAGAAGATAATGGCATATTCTGAAGCTTTGCAAGTAAACGTACTGGTTCCATCGTCAAAGGCATAGCTATAAGCCCTAGGACAAGCTCTCTTGAAGATGGTAGAGTATGAAGACGGCCGACATGTGTTCGGGTTAGCAAACTGACCGCTGCAACAGTACTGGTCCAATCCAAAGGCCTCACAAGCACTCTTGCAAGCAACAACTCCTCCTCCCTCTTCCTCTTCCTCTCCCATCACTTGAAGCTCCTTTGGACAGCTAATGTTGATATCAGCAACACATCCTGTTGCATTACAAGCTCCAACCAGTCCACCACCTGTTGGGAGAGCAATTATGGGGAGGTTATAACCATCAACGAGACTGACATCGTAGAAATCTTTGTCATCAGAACCGTGACCGAGCGTAATCTCGAAAAGTGATGTTGGCGGAGCAGCACCATCACCACTGCACGCCAGCTTCCCGCCACAGTCTCCAGTCATACATTTTCCCATGCCGTTAGCATCAAAATTGCAGCCAGTCCTAGCCCATATCCGACCTGACCAGCCTATAGACGATGGAATCCTCACAGACTGTCCCACATCAAGCCTGAACCCCGTGGTGGGTAGTGGCGGGGTGCCAGAGCCTGCAAGAGTGCCAGGCCAAATAGTAAAGGGACAGTTATTCGTGATGACGAACGTGGAGGAATA